ATCCCCCCCCCCCCCCCCGGGGGGGCTCCCAACCACTCCCCCCCACGGGGGGAACCAATTTTTGGTCTTGATGGGGGGGGGGGGGGGATAGAAGCACAGGGCTATGACCGACGGCTCGGTGCTGAACGGGAACACGCGCCTGCCGCATTTGTCTTCATCGCTCCTAAAAACCTCAGCCGGCATCCGCACATCGGCGAAAAGCCCGCGGGCCCCCAGCCTCCCCCCCGACGGAGAGGAATCACTCCTCTGCGTGGAGATGGCGCGCTCCTAATGGCGATTGATTGCCTCACGTTGCCATCGTTATCCCCCAGTGGGGGCTGGCGAGGAGCAGAGGTGTCCTGTCAGCTGACGTGATCGGATTGCGGCAGCGGGAACGTCGTCCAGCATCACTATGAATGTAGAGTCAGTCGTCCGTTCTCGGGTTTGAGGAAGAAGCTGATGGCTGAGGCTTTGTGAGCCGATTGCCGGTGCAGGGTGCCGTTGAGAACGAGCGCGGCCTGTTCTGTCCCACGAAGGGTTAACACTCTCAGACATTCATGCAAAATATTTAAGAAAATGTCACATTTCAAAGTCCTCCACCCAGGCATAAATTGAGAACAATTAGAACCTCAGTTGTCTCACTCTTTGTTTGAAAAGCTGGACATGAACCCACAAGATGAAAGTCTAGAGATTGACCTCAAACTACCTTTAAAGCTTTGAGGAGGTGGCTGAGAATCAGCCAGCACTTTGCTCTTCCTCCTTAAGTCTCAGGCCCTCCTGCTTAAGACATGGACAGCGAGGGATCTACATCCTCAAGCACATCTGCGGAAATCCATCCGACATGGTTTCCATGATCTTTCCAAATGCTCACAAAATAGAGAATAAACATACAAACTGCTCCTGGAAAAGCACACATACACAAATTACGCCCAAGTCACCAGGCTCCATCAAACAGAGTTTATGCCACAATTACAGGGTATTGGACAGGCGGATACAGAGAGCAACGTGATACAGGACAGACAGCAGTGCAATAAAAGACAAGACAAGAGTCTAATATACAACTTATTCTGACGTCACATTTTAAATCCACAGACATCAATGTGTACTTGGTCCCACTTTTGCAGCTACAACAGCTGCCACTCTTCTGGGAAGGCTTTCCACAAGATTTTGGAGTCTGTCTGTGGGAATTTTTGCCCATTCATTCAGAAGAGCATTTGTGAGCTCAGGCACTGATGTTGGACTTGAAGGCCTGGCTCACAATCTCCTTTCTAGTTTATTTCAAAGGTGTTCAATGGATTTGAGGTCAGGGATTTGTGCATGTCTTTACGGACCTTGCTTTGTGCACTGGGGCACAGTCACGCTGGAACAGAAAAGGGCCTTCCTCAAACTGTTCTAACAAAGTCGGAAACATAGAATTGTCCAAAATGTCATGGTATGCTGAAACATTAAGAGTTCCCTGGAACTACGGAGCAAAGCCCACCCCCTGAGAAACACCCCCATACCATTAACCCTCCTCCATCAAACTTTACAGTTGGCACAATGCAGTCAGGCAGGTAACGTTCTTCTGGCATCTGCCAAATCCAGACTTATCCATCACTGCCAGACAGAGAAGTGTGATTCATCACTCCACAGAAGACGTTTCCACTCCAGAGTCCAGTGGCAGTGTGCTTTACTCCACTCCATCCGACACTTGGCATCGTGCTTGGTGATGAGAGGCTTGCATGCAGCTGCTCGGCCATGGAAGCCCATTCCATCAAGCTCCCGGCACACAGTTTTTGTGCTGGAGTTAATGCCAGAGGAAGTTTGGAACTCAGCAGTTACTGAATCAACAGAGCATTGGTGACTGTCATCCACTTTGCACCTCAGCACTCAGAGACCCCGCTCTGTTACTTTACATGGTCTGCCACTTTGTCACAGTTTCTGTTGTTCCTAAATGCTTCCACTTTGCAATAACAGCACTTACAGCTGACTATGGAATATCTAGCAAGGAAGAATTTTCACAAACTGACTTATTGCAAAGGTGGCATCCTGTGACAGCACCACACTGAATCCACTGAGCTCTTCAGAACAACCCGTTCTTTCAGAAGTGTTTGTAAACCTGACTGCATGGCTTGGTGGTTGATTTTATACACCTGTGGTAATGGGTCTGAATGAAACACTGGAATTCAATGATTAGGAGTCGTGTCCCAATACGTTTGTCCATATACTGTATGAATGAGAGAACATTAAATTAGTAATAAACAGGAGAGTAAATGGGGGCGGATGTGCAAATAACCAGAGAAGGTGTACAGTACCGATAAAGTACAGAACTGGAACATTAAGATTTTTGGAGTTTAGCGAAGCTCACACTGGCTCTTCTCTCCGGCAGGCCTGATTACTTCCTGAACGTTCTGCTGCATAATGAATACTCTGGAGTGGGGGGGTTGGGGGTATTTCCCCAGGAACTACAATCCCAGCCCTAACTTTTCCTGCTCCAGGAAATCTGTCTGCTGTACCCTCACCAAAGGAAACACAAATCAAAATCAAGTCAAGTAAGAAACAACATTCAAATTAAATAACATGCCACCTAACTACCACCTTTTAACATTTTTTGTAAAAATGCACGTGAATACATTTGAAGCGATCCTGCACTGTGGTGTATGAAACTCCTTGACTTGTCAGGGTGCTGTTTCAAAGCTGCATCCCCTTTTATCACTCTGCAACGTTAGACGGACTCTTGTGATGGGTGTGCTGTCGCCGCTTGTAAGCGCTACTTCTGCATTTATAAGTCGTCACACAGAATGCGCCTTGATGTGGCATTTTTAGCCACACAGCATCTCATCCCTTCAACACGTCTCCATGCAGCATGTTTTTACCCTATGGACACAGTAAATGCCCGTCTTTCAACTGGCGTGTAGCGCCGTAATCCGTGTCACGCTTGATACCCCGACGGCATTCCATGCATCTCGCCCTGCCACTCCGTTTCAGCTTTCAACTCCTCCTGTGCTTTGGTGTTAACTCGTATAATTAGCATAATTAATAATGGATTAAAGCTTGCATGGATGATAAAGGTTATAACGGACATGGCCCCGATTACATTGTTACATAATTAGCTCATTTAATCTGCCGACGATGCATTACAGAATTGCAAGATGTCATTCATTTTATTGTCTCTGTTGTTTTGACGGTGTTGTACAGCTTTGCATCTACAATGCAGCACATAAGTCAAAATGAAAACCTTATAAATGCTTGTATAATACGAGCTTGCAGTTTCCTTGCAGGTACGAAAAGATTGCGGCCGGACCCTCCGTGAGGTTCAGAAGCAGGCAGGACCGGGGTACCTGTACCGAGGGTTAAAGGGCACTCCTTTGACTGTACCTCTAATAGCCCTTTGACTATACCTCTGATAGCCCTTTGGCTGTACCTCAGCCCTTTGGCTGTACCTCTGATAGCCCTTTGGCTGTACCCCTGATAGCCCTTTGGCTGTACCCCTGATAGCCCTTTGGCTGTACCTCAGCCATTTGGCTGTACCTCTGATAGCCCTTTGACTGTACCTCTGATAGCCCTTTGGCTGTACCTCTGATAGCCCTTTGGCCATACCTCTGATAGCGCTTTCGGGTGTCTAGCTAGAAGGCAGGAAATCTGAACAAAGACTGTAATATGAATCATTAGTATAAATCACAGGGTTTCACACAAATATGTAAACAGGTGGCTTGTACGTTAACATCAGTAAAAGGCCTGAAGTGTCTCAGGAGGTATAAGGTACATGAGTGGAGTACCTTTTATTTAAGCTTATTTTATTTGGCGGATGCTAAATTTTAAAAAAGGACTATAAAAAAGGGTCAGCCTATCCCTGGGATTCAAACCAGCAGCCTTCTGATGAAGGTGGCCTAACCGGCTGAGCCTCACCCCACCCCCCCACACACTCCAGTTCACACACACCTGCCTCCCACCCCCAAACACACTCTCTTTGGCCAGTTTAGAGACACCGATTAGCCTAACTGCATATATATGGACTGAATGAGCAAACTCATGTGACACAGGCAAAACATGCAGCCTCCACATAGAGAAGGGACTCGAACCCTCAGCCCTGCGGGTGCGGGGTGCAAGGTGCCAGTGCCATCACTGATACTGCCCTTTTTATTAAAGCCCTAATGCTCAGATGCCATATGTCAAATCTGTCTTATGAGTCTCCCTTTCCACTCTGCTTAATGAAGCTTAGCTGTGAATGTAAGCATTAATGAGTGCAGGTTACTCTTAATGTATTCTCATCTGTACTGAATTTGGAGAAGTGCTTCTGCTATTCTCAGTTTTAGTCACCTATCTTCAGAAACTCCACTTTAACTCTTTCAAAACTAGTAGATGCAATATTAATAAAAGTACAAGTGTAAACTTGAAGTAAATATGTCGACACTGTAGCTACAGTGCTGTGAAACGTCAACTAATTAATGATTCCACCCATAAGTGTTTCTCTCTGCTCCATCCTGGGCTTTAATCACAGAGAAGCCCGTCATGCAGTCAGGCTAAACACCGGGTTGCAGCTGAGGTCACTGTGTTTAATCACACGAAGGAAAAGCCTCCTGTCTATCGGTCAGAGTTACAGTTAGAAGCGTCGCAGACATTGCCGGTGTGTGACGTCACCTGCAGCCGGAACACAGACAGTCACACCGTGTCGCAGACACTGCCGGTGTGTGACGTCACCTGCAGCGGAAACACAGACAGTCACACCGTGTCGCAGACACTGCCGGTGTGTGA